GCAGGGGGTGCTTAGAATCTCCGGTGGAGGTTTGGTTGCCACCTACGAAGACTCGAACTGCCAACAAATAACGTAAGCACCCCGAAGACTGACGACAAGATCCTGGAGCTGAAGTAAGAGAGAGACAAGTTGCGCCGGAATATTATAGGATTATCCGAGGTTCGAAGAGAGGAGAACGACGCGGTGATTCTCGAATCCGGCAACTTGTTTTATCACCGGGAGGGTGACCATCTGTCCCAAGGAGATGAGATGAGGCTGCAAACGTCAGCTGATTTGACAGCATACAGGCAACTGAACAGACAGATCTCAAAATGCATGCGGCGGGACTTACAAAACTTTAATACTGCGCGTATTGAAGAAGCGATTAAGCGGAACCAGGGTTCCAAAGTCTTTGCCAGAGATCTGTCTGCCAGAAAGAACAAACAGTCAAAGCTGAAGACTGAGTGTGGCATCATCGTTTCCGGGACACCTGAGAGTCTGAGTGAGATTGAGAGGTTCTATTGGCAGCTGTACATATCATTTGTACAGTATGGTACGATGGATGTCCTAGTACAGCACCGGAGTTCGAAACCTATTAAACTGCAGAGAGGTGTAAAACAGGGTGACGTTATATCCCCGAAATTATTCACCGCTGCATTAGAAGACGCTTCCAAGCTACTGGACTGGAAGGGATACGGTATTAACATCAATGGCTAGTATACCACTCCCTTCAATTTACCGACGATATAGTGCTTATGGCAGAATCACTGGAGGACCTTAGCACTATGCTCAATGACCTCAATGGTGTCTCCCAACGGATGGGTCTTAAGATGAATATGGACATAACAAAGATCATGTTTAATGTCACGTCACACCTATGCCGCTAGTTGTTGGGAGTACTATGCTCGAAGTTCTTGACGAGTACGTTTACTTGGGACAAATAGTCCGACTAAGTACGTCCAACTTCGACCGAGAGGTCAATCGACGTATTCAACTCGGCCGAGCAGCTTCGGGATATTACGGCACATCTTCTCGACATTTATATCTCAAACTCTAAAAACAAGATTGTACAACCAGTTCGTGTTGCCAGTTATGACTTACGCATCTGAGACGTGGTCCTTCACTGCTGGCCGAATGAGGACGCTCAAGGTCGCTCAGCGAGCTATGGAGAGGGCTATGCTCGGAGTTTTTCAGCGTGATAGACTCAGAAATGAGGATATCAACAAACAAAATCCAACGGATTAGTAAGCTGAAGTGGCAATGGGCTGGCCATACAGCTCGAACAACCGATAACCGATGGGGAAGAAAGGAGACAACGCGTCTGCATTTTGATTCGTAATCGAGGATAGATGAAGATGTCTATAGGCCACAGCAACCATTTACCATCAGGTGGACTGTGTTTTGATTTGTCACCCTATTCTATAAAAAAGACAACGTTATGTTAGCAATTAACGTATCGGTAAGCTGAAGTGATAATAATTTATTTACAGCTTGAGTTATCTAAAAGTGACAGAAAATAAAAGTTCGCAAGCGGCAACCGCGTTCTGTAATTGCAACTATTAGGGATCCACAGGATGAAGTAACGACAGGACGATACATGCAGAAAATCAATGAATACAGATAGCTCAGGGGCTACCTCTGTGAAGTTTATGGGCGACGCCTGTGTTCGTGATGGATTGTAAATGGTATATATTTATAACAATTTCATTAAAATTGTAATTGAAATAAGAGTGTAAATTTATAACAATGGTGTTATGTTATGCATTGTAGAAGCGTGCTCGTCGCGACCCCTGCCAGCCCTTTTCAGGGCTGCAATTCTACACAGCTGCGCACCCATGCAAACGAGGGTTAGTGCGTCCCCCCAAGGCGACTCACACCAGCTCGGCCCCGTTGGTGTGGAATGCAGCGCGCAAGCGGCGACGGGGATCGGCAAACGTCACGCACAGTCCGACACGGCGGAAGGTGGAGGACGGAGTGCAGAGTTGGCCCGTGGAATGTTAAGCATGAGAGATAAGACGAATGAGTTGATCGAAATAATGAAAGAAAGAGAATTAGATGTCGTTTGTATGTCGGAGACCAAACGGAAAGGCAGTGGTACCGAAGAGCTCCCTGGCGGGACGTTAGCTATATGATCCGGAGTCCCGGAAAGCGAGAACGCCTGCCAGGGATTGGGGGTGCTGTTGTCATCCCGGTTGGTCGATCTTATACTGATCATATACTGAATATAAGGTTGTGAACTCAAGACTTCTCTGGGTTCGCTTTAAACTGGGACTGACGAATTTATTCCTTTTGGCCGTTTATGCGCCGGTAGCTTCATCGCCCAGGGCTGAGCTGGAGGAGTTTTGGGAAAATGTAAGAGAAGTTCTAGATTTGGTTAAGGGAAATCAAAGAACTGTTGTATGTGGTGATTTGAATGGATGGGTAGGTATCGCTCGACCAGGGTACGAGTCGGTGCTTGGAAAGTTTGGAGATAAAAGGGTTAATGATGCTGGCAAGCTTATACTGGCTGTATGCAAGAAAAAGGGTCTTCTTGTGACAAACGTGTTTAATCACAGGAAAATCCATATGTACACTAGAGAAATAAAGAATGAGAGAAGTATGATTGATTTGTTCCTGGTGGATGACCGACTGCGAAAACAGGTGATGGATACACGAGTGTTCGGGACCTGGGAACGGATCACTATCTAGTAATTACTAGATTTAGGGGTTTGTTCGCAGGTTGGCGCTACCGGACGGCAGTAACAGAACCACAGTCGGTCTGTCGCATCCGAAGCTGGAAGCTTCAGGAAGCGGATACTAAGGACAAATATCACACGAGGGTAACCGAAAAGTGAAAATAATGTGTGGAAATAACATGGCAGAACCTTAGGGATGGAATGGTAAGTGCAGCGGAAGAAGTATGTGGAACGACAAAAAGAGGTAGTAGTAAAAGAAGAGATGCATGGTGGAATGATGAAGTGAGAGAAGCTGTAAAGAAGAAGAAAAAAGCATGGTTAGACTACTTGGCCCCTAGTAACGATAAGCATATGAGGTAGAAGATGAAAGAAAGATATAAGCTGCAGAAAGTTCATGCGAAAACATTGAATAAGGAAGTATGTGAAAGGTGTAGAATAGAAGCGGACGAAAGGTTGTCGCACAACTTTATGGAAAACTCCAAACTCTTCTGGAAAGAGGTTGGAAGGTCCCGAGTGGTGTGACAGCCTTAAAAATGAACAAAGTGCTTTCGAAAACCAATGACGTCCTCTCAGAAAAATCGGACGTCATGCAGCGATGGAGCGAATTTTATAGAGAAATGTATGCGTGTCATGATCTTAGTGAAGGATCCGGGGGTGACGCCGTGACTGGCACGCCAAACACGGACCTCGATGGCACTGAGATCATCAGCATGAAAGAGATTGAACGTGCGTTTCGAAGTTTGAAATGTGATAAGGCTGCGGGACTAGACAGAATTACTGCTGAAATTACGGTGGGGCTCGCGTCCGGGACAGCTTTCATCTGCTGTGCAATTTGTGCTGGCGGACGGGAGGTATCCCGGATGACTGGCGATCCGCGGTCATTGTGCCTTTATATAAATGTAAAGGTTCATATTTTGACTGCGGGTGCTATCAGGCGATCAGCTTGACCAGTTTAGCAAGTAAAGTTTACTCGAAGGTTTTGACACGTAGGATGCTAGAGAAATCGGAAAGATTATTATGGGAGGCACAATGCGGATTTAGACCTGGAAGAGGATGCACGGATCAAATGTTTTGTCTCCGCATGATCACGGAGAAGCTTCTGACTGCTAACCAGAGGATTTTCTGTGCTTTTGTGGATCTGGAGAAAGCATTTGATAAGGTTATAAGGAAGAAAATTTGGGAACTTGGTACCTTTGGTACCGGAATATGGTGTGGATGGTCGATTGTTAAGGGCTGTGTAGTCACTTTAATATGACTGTAAAGCCTGCGTTCGGCTAGGGCATGACCTGTCATCCATGTTTAGCGTCCAAGCGGGCGTAAAACAGGGTTTTGTCATGTCTTCCTGGCTGTTCATACTGTATCTCGACAGCTGTTTACAGATGCTGAAAAATAGCTATATAGTAGTTTGGGTGTGAAATTGGGTGACATAAAAGTAAATTGTCTGCTGTATGCTGATGATGCAGTGCTTATTGCACCATCAGAAGCAGAACTGCAGGCATTAGTCACGTGTATGAAAGAGGAAAGTGAAATTAAAAGTCTCCGTTTGAATGCTAATAAAACTAAGGTCCTGATATTTGAAAAGGACGAAGAGAGAACGAAATTTGAAATATGGGTAAATCAGGAATGTCTAGAACAGGTAAATGAAATTGTATACTTGGGGAGTGCTTCCAGTCGGGATGGAAGATGTGATATATATACATCCTAGATGTGGACAGGCGTGTCGCTGCCGGGAACATAGTCAATGGTGCCGTGAATGCGTTAGTCAAAAGGCAAGGCGTAGTGAAGAGTGCACGCCTTGCAATATATAACGCAGTGTTGGTACCGACTTTGTTATATAGCAGCGAAACCTGGGTATGCCAGAAGAAGCATATAAGCAAGTTGAATGCAGTGGAGATGCGATCTCTTCGTAAAATGTGCGGCGTTACCACAGCCGACCGAAAGCGAAACAAAGAGATTCGCAATATGGCAGGATTGAAAGATGAACTTATCACAAAAATTGATAGGAGCGTACTCCGATGGTTTGGGCACGTTGAGCGAATGAGTGAAAACCGAATGGTGAAGAAAATATATAGCGCGAAAGAAAATATTGAAAGGTGTCGAGGTAGACCGAGACAAACTTTCGAAGGCCATGTGAACAAATTACTCGAAGAGGGGAAGGTCAAGAGTACTCGTATACCTAGACGTGCATGTATGAAGAAGATAATGAACCTGAAAGAAGCGAAAGAGGTATGTAAGGATCGTGACACTTGGCGATCTATTCTCTCTGGCTACCCCGTTAGGGATTTTGTGTGAAGATAATTAAGTAAGTAAGTATGTTAGCATTATTAAATATTTATACGAAATAAATCAATCTTTGCTGTATTTTCCGACCGCAATTCTTGAAGAAATGGTATTATTCATGAGGGTGCCAACCGCTTGATTGATCACGATATTTAGTATAACTCGTGAGTTAAATGCCTAAACGATTTTGATTTTAAACAATTTATCAATAGTAATACTCAGTACATTACAAAATATTTATAGTTAATTAATTTAAACTTTGCATATTTTAATTACGACCAAATATACGTTTTATCCACACTTAAACCAGATTTACTAAAATCGCTCAACGGATTTGTTGGCTATAGTTCAAAATAAGCTTTGAGGTGACCTACCAAAAAGCCCATTTTGTGTCAATCTCTGGGGGAGACCTATGTTGTTTTTTTTAAATACGGTCTAAAAGCTTAAAGATTTTATAAATGTGGTACCTATAGACCTATGTACATACCTTACAATTCTTTAAACTTTTATCACTTCTTTTTGCCAAGAAAAGTAGTCAATCTGATTAGGTAATAACTACCCTTTTACCTATTTGTGCCGGCATAATGCAGTGCCAAAGCCGCTATGTCCCATTCTGAAAGGAATAAAAAACCAGTATAATTACAGTCTGTCAGGTATTCCATCTCATTTTTGGAGGTAATAACGCGTCTCTATAGACTTCTTTGTTTGAAGACTTAACATCAGGTGGACTGTAAGTTCTTTCATCACTTCATAAACATAACATAAGATAAACACTCACGCCTGTCACTCAGAGGGGTAGACAGAGACTACAGACTTCCATTTGACACGATTCTGACACACCTCTCTCGCCTCCTTCACATGCTCCATGCTCCATTCCATGCTCGTCGGTTATGGGTACTCCTAATTTGGACCGTTTTTCATAAATCGCTAATTTGGTCGCTAAATTCACTTCAGTTTTATAAAAAATGAAAATAACAATAATATAACAATGTTCTACAGTTATATTGCATAGTTTTAAATTTTTGTAAATAATTATTAATTTTTTTTAAAAAATATTCAACTTTTCATTTATTTATGCGTAACTTGGTCCAAATACTATAGATAAATAAGACGTTATTGTCTTATTTTAATTAACACTTTCAATAATATAAATTTTTATAAGAGAATATTTATAACTACTTGATAATTTTTGATCACTGTGACTAATTATAATCAAAAAACCTCTTAGTATTATTTGTGGTGGTAGTGTTCCTTTACCCATCATTTTTGGTGCAACGGTGGGGAGAAATAATAGGTCCTCACATATGAAATTAGCATTTTGTACGGGAGGAATATAAAGTCATTTTTTTGTAAAATATGTTTAATTAGTTGCGTAATCGTTGAAGTTTTGTGATTGTGATTTTAGTTGGATTTTCTTTCAAAAAAACTGTAAGTAATGTTATTTATTTTTACTACGTAATGTTTTTGAATGATTTAAGTTACAACGACAGTAACTTTTTTATGTTTCAATTGATAAAAAAGTAGAAAAAAAAACCTCTACGCGAACAATTCATAACGGTCAAGATTTCTAATAAGATTACTCCAATAAGATAATATAGTATATTTCTTATTGGAATACCATAGTAAATACTTTAACTAGGAATTGCTAAATGTTATATCTGTATGATTGTATAAGAAAAATAAAGGAAGACGCTATAAAATATATACACAAAAAGGTTTTGAAAATGAGTTTACAAAGCGCGCGCAAACTGTCTATTGTTGAATTTTTAGCAAATGTTTGCAAGTGAAAAATTAGAATTATTATAATTATGACATGCATAATTTCGGTTCATTTAGGAAGAATATGTTGTATTTATTGTAAGAACATAAAAATAAAATAAAAATTTATGATATTTCATTCAGAAAATAAAATTTATTATCAGTAAGTACACTTTATCAAGATCCGTTAGAAACAAAGAGCTGTACAAAATAAATTAAACATTTAAATGTTATGGTTATTGTTTCTACTTATCGATAATCTTATCTGCTTCAAATAACTTTAACTAAAATCACTTTAAACATAAAGGAAAGGTCGTGAGAAATATAAATGTTTATAACAAGTGCCGCCAGCTGAGGTGACGACTGAGGCCCCGGTACAAAGCTGTTTTTTGTTACGGCGGGCGTGGTACGATTAAAGGTTAATTAATCAAAGTATGCACCGTTGTTATCTATGCAATTTTTCCATCTCATAGGTAGTTCATTGATCCCTGTACTAAAAAAACCATGGGGGCGAAAATCAATAAACTCTTTGAAGGCGGTTTGGACTGCCGCAACGGAATTGAATTTTTTCCTTGTATGAAGTTGTCCGAATTCTGGAAAAATGGTAATCTATTGAAGCGAGTTCCGGGGAGTATGGTGGATGTCGCAGACATTCCAATTGTAGCTCATTTAACTTAGTGGTTGTTTTTTGTGCAGTTTGTGCAACTTGCGCTGTCGTAAAGCGGCAGTGGCGTAGAGCGATTGACCAATCTCGGTTGTTTAGCAGCTAGTTCTTCCTTCATGGTTTGCAGTTGCTGACAATAGATATCTGCCATAATCCTTTGGCCCCATTTTAGAAAACTGTAGTAAACGACACCAGCGGTCGTCCACAAAACACTCACAAGTAACTTTTTCTGAGTAAATTTTCATTAACGACAGAATTTGGCTGGGTCTCCATGGTTAAACCATTGCGACGAGCGCTTCCGATTATCGTACAGTACCCACTTTCCATCACAAATAATGATTTGATTTAAAATTTCTTCATTTTTGTGTTGGTTGAGCAAAGTAACACAGCAGTGGACGAGTGTTTGCAAGTTCAATTCACTCAATTTATGAGGTTACCCATCGTTCAAGTTTTTTTACTTTCCCGATTCGCTTCAAATGGATTAATACAGTTTGATTACTTACTCCGAAGCCTGCAGCTATCTCTGAAGTGTTTTGTGATGGATCCGCTTACACAATAGCCTTTAATTCTTCATTTTTCATTTTGGTCTCCGGCCGTCCATGGGGTTGGTGCTGAAGGTCGAAATTTCCAGAACGAAAACGTTGAAACCAAAAACGTACCGTGCTTTCATTTGCGACACCAGCGCCGTCACATCATTAATCCTTCGAGCCCTTTCTGCAGCACTGGTGCCACGGTAGCACTTGTACTCGTAAATATACCGATATTTCATGTTTTCCATTGTGCGGTAATAAGCGACTCCAAAGAAAAAAATAATGAGGAAAAAACAAATGAATTTAAAAACTTTAGCTACGTTTTAGTTAGCTAAGTGAATTTATAAATTTGAGTTTGGAGTTTTTAACCAAAGAGGAGATATTTCAGATGAAAGTGGTCAGTACGACAAAACTCTAATTTCATATGTAAGGATCCAATAATAACAGTGCAAGATAACTGGTATAATATGGTCGCGGTGGTCGATTGATGAAAATGCATCATGTCCATACTTTGTGATTAATTGAAAGTTTACAAAATAATGATCTTCAATCACAGCGACAACTCATGAATAATCAGGAACTATTAACTGCCCAGGGTATCTTAACTATAACTCATTCTATCTTACCTGATCCTAACGTAACCGCTAATGTGATAAGATCTGATGTAGTCAAGTATGTAGTGTATAAGACAAGGGAATAAGCAATCCATAACTAGATCTGAAAACCATCATCTGTATAAGTTTTAGGATTCGAATTTATGGCCTGAGGCTTATTACCAATTTATACTCACCGTGGGATTATGCGGTTGCCAAACATCAGCGGTTTACAAACTATCATATATGTTAGCAATCAACCACTTTAAACTTTACCAATGAATAATCTCAATCCGTCAATGTACTTATAGATTTGAGGAAAACTACGATTTTTTTTTCAAATATGTATTAAATAGACACGGGCTTATTTTATTTTTTTGCGTATATATTTTGCATATAGTGATATTTTTATTTTTTTAGAGCAGTGGTAGCTGAAGGAGTAAGTGCTGGCCGTAAATTTTACAGTATGCGAGCAGCCTGGACTCGATCCTCACAGCCAGAATTCTTAAAGTACGTAGTTCTCTCGTAATTCTCAGAGATGACTACGATTTTGTAGCCTTCTTTGCTTGATGTTAGCTGCAGTTTTCCATGAATTGCAGTAACCACGTACAATCAGGTGGATAGTTAGTTAGATTTTAACTTCAATTTTATGAAACTTATTAAAAAATTATAAGTTAGATAATAATTTGTTTCAAATAACCAAAAAAAATTATGGGGTATTCGACACTGGTGTCCAGACACACTGAGATAAGAGTGTGGGATAAAGAAGGAACTAGATATCGCCTAGTTAGAGAGATAGCACTATCATTCAACTAAATTTTAAGTTAAAAGTTAAAATTACAGCCTAGTTACGTCCCAATACTGGACAGATTCCTTTTTTAATTTCTGAGAGGGTCTTAAAAATTTAATGTTCATCATTACAACATTTCACAAGTTCTTATATCACTGCTGAATATAGGCCTACACTAAATAATTTCGCAAAGCACGGTCTTAAGCTACCTGCGTCTATTGACTTCCTGGATGTCTTACCTGGTCATCACCGTCTCTAGTTGAGGGTTACCCTGCACTTCACTTTCTTCTTTCTCCGTCGGTTGTCATTTCTTCGAGCTATATGATCTACTCATTGCCATTTTAGCTTACTAATAATCCTTTAGGCAATGTCAGTTATTCTGATTCTAATGCGAATATCCTCATTTCCAATTGTTTCATGTTGAGACACTCCGAGCGAACTTTAGCTTCCTTATACAGCCAGCAATGAAGGACCACGTCTCAGATCTCTGCCAATGCTAACTGCCTGTTTTCACACTCGCAATTGCTGAGGCTTCAGTGAACATTTGCCGTCTTGTCGTTACAATAAAGTTAATCTTATTTTTTGTTGAACCGTCGGGGCTCGATCAGGTCAAATTCCTGTGGCACCACTTTGGGATGAAAAAGTTCATCGTAAAGAGTCTCTCTTTCTTCATGAAGTCGACCAGCTGCTGGCCCCTTTAATCCTGTTACCCTATTTCGAATTAAGCGAATTTCCTTACCTTCAGCTCATTGTTTGTACCTAGTTTGACGTCGAAGTCTCGTCGCCTTCCGGTTACAGAACAAGTTGCCGGATTTGGGAATAACCGTATCTTCCCCTTCCTTCGGACTCTTGATAATCCTGTAATATCCCAGCGCAAATTGTCTATCTATGCTTCCAGCTCCAGGATGTAGCTCCAGCGTCAGTCTTCATGGTGCGTGTGTTAAATTTTGCCATGTCGAGTTGTCTTAGGTGGCAACCAAACCTCCACCGAAGATTTTTAGCACCCCTGCCCCGTATTTACTATGATTAGTACCAAAGCCAGGAATAGTAGAGCCGCCGGGGAATAGGGCCGTTTATTTTTGTCGTTGCTCATGGTGGATGTTTTCTAATGGTTGCCGGGCTTGTCGAGTGGGTTGGAAACCGCAATTTTTATTGTACTCTTGCTGTTATTAGAAAGATGCTGCTACCCATCTCTTGCCTGTATCCCCTTTGACGCCTCTTACTATACGGGAAAATATTATCGGGTATGGATATTCTTAGTCAAGGCATAGCTAAAAATGAAATGTAAAATTTTGTTAAATGTTACTGTTTTCAGTTAATTGTCAATTAAAGTGAGTATTCATAAAACAAAATTAGCATAAAACATTTATATGCGATATAATATTAAAATGAAGCATTCAATAATATTAACTTTAAGAGAAAGAAAGTTTTAGGATTTCATCATGATGAGGATTTTATCATAAAACTTTCTTTCTCTTAAAGTTTAAACCCACTCGACAAGCGCGGCAATCATTAGAAAACATTCACCATGAGCAACGACATAAATAAACGGCCCTATTCCCCGGCGGCTCTACTATTCCTAGCTTTGGTACTAATCATAGTAACTACGGGGCAGGGGTGCTAAAAATCTTCGGTGGAGGTTTGGTTGCCACCTAAGACGACTCGACCTGGCAGAATTTAACATACGCACCATGAAGACTGACGTTGGAGCTATATCCTGGAGCTGGAAGCATAGATAGACAATTTGCGCTGGGATATTACAGGATTATCAAGAGTCCGAAGGAAGGGGAAGATACGGTTATTCCCAAATCCGGCAACTTGTTCTGTAACCGGAAGGCGACGAGACTTCGACGTCAAACTAGGCACAAACAATAAGCTGAAGGTAAGGAAATTCGCTTAATTCGGAATAGGGTAACAGGATTAAAGGGGCCAGCAGCTGGTCGACTTCATGAAGAAAGAGAGCCTCTTTATGATGAACTTTTTCGTCCCAAAGTGGTGCCACAGGAATTTGACCTGATCGAGCCCCGACGGTTCAATTTTCTGTTCTTTAGTCTTGTAGGCTACTATTGGAAGTTTATAAAAGATTTCGCTAAAATCAGGAAACCGCTTACGACTTGTTGCAAAAAGAACCGTAAAATAATAAATAATTAAAAATGAATGCATACAAAGCTTCGAAACATGTAAGAAACTGTTAACTAATGCACCCCTATTACAGTATCCAGACTTTGACAAACCATTCATTTTAACCACGATTCATCAAATTTTGCAATAGGATCCGCATTGTCACTGTAGTGACAATATAACACGGAGTTCAGATGACAACTGTTTTATTAATAAAGGCGGTTTTTTAATATATAATATTTTAAGACTACCCACAACACCTTCCCCTTAAAGAATAAGTTTTTAACAAAAGTGATTTATTTTTAAATAATCTTACCAAGAAAGACATGAATAAAAAACTTACTTTAGTATTTTTTTTGTGATTACAAAGGATTAATTAAACCGGTTATTTTTTGTTTTTATTTACTTTACTTCGAGTGAGAGGCGGAGAATAATTTTCATTAACTTCAATATTTAACATTGTCGGTTCATATTCATCCTTCGAAGAATATTCCTCATTTTCACTACTCGTAAAAATAGTTTTTGTTGTCATTGAATTATGTTCCTTATTCTCATGTACTATTTGTGCTGACGTTCTATTTTCTTGTGTTTTATCTTTTATTAGATGTCTGCGATTGCGGCGATACACCATTCCTCTTTTAGTTTTAATAAAATATGAGCGGGGAGTCGCCGCTTTTGCAATGATATGACCTGGAATTTTAGAATTATTTTTTTCTATCATAGTCACCTTATCGCCGACATCCAATACAGGTAAAGGCTTGGCACGTAAATCATAATACATTTTATATTTATTTTGTTTATCTAGCGTAACTTTGTGTTGACTCTCATTATTTACATGACCTATTTTTAAAAGGTTTGGGTGCACTGGTAGCCTGCATTTTAACCTACGACCCATCAGCAGCTGTGCGAGAGAATTCAAATTATCGCGAGGTGTATTTCGGTAACTTAGCAAATTTAAATAAAAGTCACTTCCACAATCTATGGATTTTTTTAATATCTTTTTTATTGTTTGCACGGCTATTTCACTCTTACTATTTGATTGTGCGTAATTGGGTGATGACGTTATGTGTTCAAATCCCCACTCCACCGCAAAGTTTTTAAATTCCCGACTTGAAAATTGTGGACCATTATCGCTTATTGCAATGTCTGGTATCCCATATCTAGCAAAATTTTCTCTCAGTACGTTTATGACGCTTTTAGAAGTAGTTTCATGTAACAATGCTACTTCCGTAAAACATGAATAATAGTCCACAATAATCAGATATGATTTTTTACCATACTGAAATATGTCCGTCCCGATTTTACTCCATGGTAAATTTGGAATAGAAACAGCAATCATCGGTTCCTTACTCGAGTTATTTGAATTCTCTCGACACACTACACACCTATTTACATATCTCTCTATATCATAAGAAATCCCTGGCCAGAATAGCACTTCACGTGCGCGCCTTTTACAGCGGTCTATCCCTAAATGTCCATCATGTATAATTTTTAACATTTCGGTTCTTAAGGAACTGGGAATTAATATTTGTTTGTTTTTAAATATAACGCCATCTACACAAAATAAATCTCCTCTCATAGACCAATAATATTTTAAGTTATCTTCAATATCTCGTTTATATTCCGGCCAACCCTGATTTATATATCTCATTAAAAGTTTTAAGTTATTATCTTTCAAAGTCTCATTTTTAATTACACTTAATTTTTTATGTGAAACGGGCATGTTAGAAACTACCATATGTACTTGACATAATACATTATCACTCACTTTATCATTATATAGTTCTGGAATAGGAGCGAAAAGGGAATAATCTATCTGCGCATATCGTGTCTGTGTGTCGGTGAGTGTACGTGAAGTATATTCAATAGGTCGGCCGCCCGCAACAGCACGGCTCCTAGCGCTACACGCCGCGTCCACCGAAACTACAGCCGGTTGCGATACGTCATATAAAGCCAACACGGGTGATTTGCTTATTAAATCTTTTAATAAATCAAACGCATTCTGTTGTTCACTCTCCCAACACCATTCTGTGTCCTTTTTCAATAATCGAGTAAGCGGATAAATACGCTCAGAATACTTAGGTATAAACTTAGATAAATAATTTACGGCTCCTAAAAATCGTTCTAATGTTTTTCGTTCTTTTGGAGTTGGCATATTTTTTATTGCTTTTACTTTTTCTAAATCTGGTTTCATCCCGTTTTTGTTAAATATATGACCCAAGTAAGTCACTTCCTCAACGCATATACTACATTTATCTTTATTAAATTTTAAATTAATTTCACGAGCCCTATTTAATAATGCATTTAAACGCCTATCATGTTCGTCTTTATTTCGTCCCCAGCATATTATATCGTCTATAAAAGAATCTACTCCATCTAAATCCTCTATTAATTGCTAATAATCTTAAATACTGATAGCGCCCAAACGGTGTACTAAAGGTGCATAAGTCTGAACTCTGATCATCAAGTTTTATTGCCCAAAAACCTGAATTTGCGTCTAATACTGAAAAAAAAAACTAGCTCCGTGAATTTTAGTGGAAAGTTCCTTGATGGTTGGCGGTTGGAAATGTGCACGCTGTATAGCATTATTAAGAGGTCTCGGGTCTAAGCAAATTCGCAATGTTCCGTTCTTTTTTGCTGCAATTACTATTGAATTAACCCATTGTGTTGGGTGAGTGACCTTTCTAATGACTCCTAAGTCAGTCATCCTGTTTAATTCTTCTAATAATTTATCACGTAATCCTAGAGGTACTTTTCGCGGAGCACAAACTACAGGTTTAACTGATTTATCAATAACTATATGGTACTCACCAGGTAAGCATCCTAAGCCTTCAAAAAGATCCGAATTTTCTACCAAATTAATGCCGTAAACCCGTTAAATTAACCCTAGTTCCGAACACGATTGTCGACCCAGCACACTTTCACAATTAATATTTGCTATTGCAAATTTTAAAACATACATTTTACTTTTTAGGATGATTACCATTTAAGATGACAAACTCCTCTTATCGGAATAACATCCCCGCTAAACGACTGTAATTTCATTTTATTATTATTGCATATCATTTCCGTGTCAAACCCCAGCGTTAAAAATCTCTTATAACATAACACATTAATGTCGGCACCGGTATCCAGCTTAAAACGTTCAAAGCCACACTCACCTTCTAATACCTCGTACCAGTTATCGCCGCCGATTTTGTTCTGCGTTTTATCCATGAACACAGATACATAAAACGACTCACAATCATCATTATCAGATTTTTCTGTATTCACTTCTATTTCATACAATTTTTTAACACTATTTTTACATTTGCACATCCTAGCGTAATGGCCGTAGTTACCGCACACATAGCATTTCACCGAAATAGCTGGACATGAACCTACATCAGTACACTGAGCACCACAACGCGGACGAGGCGACGTCGCGGTCCCGCCGTGCGCAACTCGCGCGCCGCGCCGGCCGCCGCGCTCGCCGCTGCGTCCGCCACCGGGCCGCTCGCCGTCGCGCATCGCCAGCGCCTCAACGCGCACGGGCCCGCAGCTCGCCGAACTGCCGAAGCTACCTGTTTCCATCACACGCTTGCTGTCTGTTGACATTTCATCAGCTTGACATATTTTAATTGCTTTCTCTGGAGTCAATTCATCTGTCCGTAACAACTGGTCCCTTACAATTGTGCTCCTTATGCCGCACAAAATACGGTCGCGAATCAACTCTTGCTCTAAATTTTTAAATTCACAGTTTTTACTGAGTAACAACCTCGAAAAAAAATATATCTCAGTAATGTTATATTAGATTTAACATCGAAATACTCGTCAAATTTTTTCGTCAATATTTCGATGTCCTCACGCTGCTCTTCTGAATCGAATGTAAAAGTCTCATAAATATCAAATCCATCTGATCCAATCAGATTAATGAGCAAACTCGCCTGTATGCTTCCCTCTTCTTTGTGCACCCCCGATGCTTTAAGAAAAAGATTGAATTGTGCCTTCCACCGCTTCCATGCGTCAGCCCGGCCGACGGGGCTGCCATCTAAACTCAATTCGGTTGGCGGTCTTGCATGCTCCATCCTTTACACTTAATTTAGAATACAAATTAACGTTATTCAAACGTAAAATCCAAAACTATTTAGGTATTTTAACCACTGCCACCATGTAGTGACAATGAAACACAGAGTTCAGATGACAACTGTTTTATTAATAAAGGCGGTTTTCTAATATATAGTATTTTAAGACTACCCACAACAGTCACAAGGTACAATAGGAAACGATAAACCTGTGGCATATGCGAGCAGAACGTTAAGTGATACGGAATGTCGTTATAGCACCATAGAAAAAGAACTCCTAGCTGTAGTATGGGTAGTCAAATATTTTAGACCGTACTTATATGGTCGAAAGTTCACCATTTTCATGGACCATAGGCCAGGCTTGGTTATATTCGCTTAAGGAACGCAACAGTAAATTAACCCGCTGGAGGTTAAGACTTGAGGAATATGACTTCGAAATTAAGTACAAGAAAGGCCAACAGAATACAAACGCTGATGCCCTTTCTAGAATTAGAATCAATGCCTATATGACGATTTAGATTCTATCTTCGTAAATACTGACGATAGATAGTCCGACTAGGTAATTCCAACTTCGACCGAGAGGTCAATCGACGGATTCAACTCGGCTGGGCACGTTCGGGAAATTACGACACATCTTCTCGTCAGGTATACCTCAATTTCTGAAAACCAAAGTGTACAATCAGTGCGTGTTGCCAGTGATGACTTACGGATCAGAGACGTGGTTCTTCACTGCTGGCCGTATGAGGACGCTCAAGGTCGCTCAGTGAGCTATGGAGAGGGCTATGCTCGGAGTTTCTCTGCGTGATAGACTCAGAAATAAGGATATCTCCATCCAGATCGCAGTAAAACCAGAGTGACCGACATAGCCCAACGCATTAGTAAGCTGAAGCGGCAATGGACCGACCATATAGCTCGAAGAACCGATAACCGATGGGGAAGAAAGGTTCTCGAGTGGTAGCCTCGTACCGGTAGGCGTAGTGTAGGACGACCCCCACTAGATGGAGTGACGACCTGGTAAGACATGCAGGAAGTCGATGGATGCAGGTGGTTCAAAACCGTGCTTTGTGGCAATACTTGGGGGAGGCCTATGTTCAGCAGTGGACTTGTGAATGGCTGTAATGATGATGATGACGATATACTGACTATAATGTCGAAAAAATTCAAGAAATAATTAAAGAATTAAATTCCGAATTCGTAACAATACGTAAAAGAAAACAAAAAGATGATTCAGTTACGTCAATCTCAAATACCGAAAGTGAAAAGTAACCTGATGGAAATCTCAGATGATGGTACTACAGCGAACTCCGTATCTAATAGGGAACACGAAGGCAATTTTGCCGATTTTAAAAAAAGCATTAGATTCAAAACCGCGTCAAATACTAGTTCATTCGTGGTTCTTTGATAAATTTTCGATCAATGAAATGTTTAACAGAAATCAGCGTATTTGAGAAGTTCATATGCCAATAAATAAAAAAAACATTAGTTAAAAACTTTCTGAAAGAATATGTTGACTTTAAAAACAAATATTTCATCTATTTCAAAAACCCAGCTTTTAGGAAAAAATTTTCAAACTTATTAATTGAATTATATAAGAAAGGAGCTTGCAAACTTGTTGAATGTACTGAAAGAATTATTAACTTCACCGATTCCAAGCAGGACCAACGGGAGACAGCGATAAAATATCACGAGGGTAAAACTTGTCAAGGGGGATCCAAGAAATATTTAATAAATTAAAACGGCATTATTGATGGCAAAATATGAAAGAAACAATAACAGCTATAATAAATTCTTGCCAACAATGCAAAAAGATGAAATATGAAAGAAAACCTATAAAACCTCATATTCAATTAACACAGAGTCAAAGTACACCGTTCCAAGAAGTTTTCATAGATCTACTATTCATAGAAAGTAAATATTATTTGACAATAGTTGATGCTTTCAGTAAGTTAGTGCAAGCAATAAACATCCCAAATCGCAGAACCCCTGAAGTTTTAAGAGCCTTAATTAAATACTTTAGTATGTATGGTTTACCACAGAAAATAAATAGCGACTCGGGTACAGAATTTAATAACGAATTAATAAAAGAACTTTTAAATCTTTATAAAATAGAGCTCCACATAGGAACACCAAATAACCCTAGTTCCATGGCAATAGTTGAAAGATTCCACTCCACGATTAACGAAATATATAGATAATCTAAGTACGATAAAACAGATCTTGATGCCTGCTCTGTGATGACATATGCGATAATGGCATATAATAATAATATTCATTCCGCAACAACCTTTACACCATTTGAAATTGTTTTCGGTACCACCGATACATGTAACGTCTTCGATATAGATAGAGAACGTAATTTGATGTAAAAGCTCTTACAAGATCATAGAAAACGTCTTAAAGTTCTTTATTAATATGTAGCCGAGAAATTACAGACAGATAAGATTAAGGTTATAGAAAAAAGAGGAGGTGAGGAAGTCCCAGAAATTAAAGAATGGGACGATATTTTTATGAAAACTACTAGGACAAGAAAAGAAAAAATAAGCCACATTTTGAAAAAGCCAAAGTCATAGGGAAACCAGATCATAACATAATACCCGTTAAACTTAATGAGAGACAAACTAGAGTAGATATAAAAATATTAAACGTCCTCCATAGGTCGTAGCTAGTACTTCTGGCATTGGCAAAACTGTCTAACGGCCTAGATCTACAGAACCTGTAAAAGCTCTAAAAGAAAACACCAAACCGGGGATAGCTCCTCTGAAAGTTGGGATGGCAGTGATCAGGGTTAACTCGTGGACCGTTTTGAAAACATTAGATTTAAAGTTGGTATTTGAACAAATAGATATTTATACTGAACAATATAATTGCGTAAGTAAGATTATTAGTAATAATAGTGAAGTTGGAGATGAATTTAGGGTGTTAATTAAGCAAATAGAAACATCCATACATCAGATTTTACCTATATCTAAAATAAGTAAACGAGCCATATTTAGTCCTTTAGGTTCTTTAGTTAAAGTTATCTCAGGTAACTTAGACGAAGAAGACGCTAGGCACTTCGACTCACAAATAAGTCAGGTGAATAATAGAGAACATTTGGTCGAACACCGAGTCACTCTGCTACAACAAGCATTTAACAAGCTTGTTAATGCGTCGGAAGACATAAATTCGAATGTCAATCGTTTACAAAATCAGGAAATAGATTATACACTTCATAAGGAAAGGTCTCTAAAAATGTTGTAACAATATAAAACACTTTATATCAAATTTCGAACAATTTTAGATGTAACACAAGAAATAGAAACAGCTATTGCTTTTAGTAAATTACACGCTTCCCATCAATCAATCATAAATTCAACAGAACTATTAAATATCTTAATAAATATATAAAAATATGCCATTGATTTACCCAGCAAATAAGGCAATTTTAATTAAGTTAGAAATAAATAGAGTAGTTAAATCGTATGTCAATAGGAATAACTTAGTTTTTGTATTAGATATCCCACTAATTGAACCAGACATATACACATACCACAAAATAATACCAATTCCAATATCTAATTCCGATGTCACCCATATCATAATCCCATCATATCCTTCCCTATTGGTGAAAAGATTGAAATACCGATCAGCGGTCAGCGGAGTCCCTGTGAAGAAATCGACGACGAAAAGTTCTTATGCCCAGAGGAAAGTCTCGGAGAGCATCCAGCTGAAACATGTATTGAGCAAATAATGCAGATGAAAACCAACCACAGTAGGTGCCAGCAACATAATATACGATTGGAGAATTTGAAAATTCAGAGGATCTTCAAGAACTATTGGCTACTCTATACCACTAAGGACTTGAAAATAACTGAACACTGTCCAGAACATGTACAAAAATACCAAGTGCAAAGCACATATATAATGATACCTAATCAAGAATGTAGAACACAGGTTGGAGACACATTCATTAACGCTCCGACGTACTTTGCGAATATCAAACTTCAGCTTCCCAAAATCGAGATGCCAACCGTACGTTAGGACGACATCAAGAAAGAAGCAAAACAGTTAGATTTAAGAAACTTGGACTTCAGTGATATAAAAGAACTAATAAATAATGCTAAATTCAGTAATAACTACAAAATTCTTAGTAACAAGTGAAATCAGTGTATGGACCATAAGTTTATATCTCATTCAAATTCAAATTATGTTATCGAAATTCTCCGAAGTCGCTTGAGCCACCTTCGAATAATTTCTCTCTTGAGGGGGGAGGAGTTAAGACTGAGCACCCCTGCCAAATCTCGTTCGTTCGCACATCATCAGCAATCCCGTCTGGGTCAAGCGTATGCAGTAAATAAGCTTAGTAAATGGTTTTGTTGCATATAATTTAAGTATAAATTTTACTTTATTTTACTTTACTTTTTTACTTAGACAATTGTAATCAGTTAATATCGAATATTGTAGTAATAAACTTCTAACTGTAACTCAGTCCCAATTAAATAAAATATATTTTTTATTGAAGTTTGGTTCATTATCTTAATTCACGCTTTTTAT